CTCATAGCGTACTGCTCTCAGAGGCCTCTCACGCGGCACTGCAGCCCAGAGCTGCTAGTGCAAAATGGCCGCTTGGACGCCTCAGCTCGGTGGGCCGTGTGCAGAAGCTCTGCGCACGACACTGCAATTCAAGATGGCGGCGGCGGCAGGCCGTGTGCAGAGGCGCTGCGCCCAGCACTGCAATCTGGAGCCTTGAGCAGAGCAGCTGTGCCCGCCCTGCAAGATCTCTCCCTCCCTCCCTGCTGACAAGATCCCTATACAGCAGCCCTGCCCAGAGCCTGTTGGGAAGAGTGTGGACTCTGGAGCGAGAGGTCACACCTCCCCATTCTTTGATCAAAGAATAAAGCTTTCCTTTCCTTTTGAACCAAACTCAGTCTCATTCTGTTGGCTCCAATGACACCAGGCAGGAGGACCCTTTTGGGGGCCCTAGGCAGGAGGGTCAGTAACAGTGGAAGGAGCTGTAGCTATGTGGTTTTCTTGATGGTGTCCTCCCCCAATTCTCTCAAAACTTTGGCCATCAACCTCACTGCTCTAGTCACTACTGCCTCCTATTCCTCAACATTCAGTACAAAGCTCATTCTTACCTTCACCAACCCTTTCAGCTAAGTTTCCATTTCCCTTCTTTTTTCAAAAGCCCACCCTGAGTTTCTGCCTGATCTACTGATAGTTGTCCAGCCTTACTCACTGCAAATGAGGTAAGATGATGCTATAAGGCCTCTCCACTGAACAGTGTCAGCCCTCCCCTGCTTTACTTAACTGCTCCCATCTCTGCTCAGCTTCTGACCCTTGGCTCCATTCTCCATGAACAGTCCTTCTCTAGCCTCTGGACTCGGTTTGGTATTTGGGGTCTGGTCTCTCAAGTTCTTATCTAATCACTGTTCATTAAGAACATGGATAATGTGTTATCATCACGGTAAAAACAAAATCTTTGTGATCAGACAAAACCCAAGACCCAACTCCCCAACTCACCAGCTCTATGACCTTGGGTATATCATTTAATTTCCCTGAGCCTCGGTTTCATCATCCATAAAATTGGATGCAAGCTTGTGAAGGGTAAATTAATCCTTATAAAATGCTTACTTTGGTGTCTGGCATATAGCAAGCACTCTCTAAATGTCATCTATTATCAGTATTATTATTGTTGCTGTTATTGCTACTGGCTTGCGTCTCCTTCCACCAAAACCACACCACCCAATCTTGGAGGGCAGAGGTTCAGAGTTTGAGACTATCTACCGTGTAGCTATAGTTTCCAGTTCCCCTATTCCCCAACCCCTCTCCAAACACCTATGTGTATACTCTCATTTTTTGCCACATCCATCTCAGTTAAAAACTTCCCTGGGCTTCCCTGGTGGTGCAGTGGTTAAGAATCCACCTGCCAACGCAGGGGACACAGGTTCGAGCCCTGGTCAAGGAAGCTCCCACATGCCGCAGAGCAACTAAGCCCGTGTGCCACAACTACTGAGCCTGCGCTCTAGAGCCCATGAGCCACAACTACTGAGGCCCGTGCGCCTAGAGCCCATGCTCTGCAACAAGAGAAGCCACTGCAATGAGACACCCGCACACCACAACACAGAGTAGCCCCCACTTGCCGCAACTAGACAAAGCCCGTGCAGCAATGAAGACCCAACACAGCCAAAAATAAATAAATTAAATAAATTTTAAAGAGAAAAGAATATATTGTTTAAAAAAAAAAAAAACTTCCCTGCATCCCATAGTTCCCACCCTCACAGTTCCTGACAAGAGTTGTGAGGCTTGATGTAGGTGGCCATTGCTACACAGGTCAGTTCTGACCATTTAGTTGCATGGATGGACCACAGATAGGAAGCAAGCCCAAGAATTCCATGCCTCCCCACAAGCAAGCTACCCAAACAGGTTACAACCTTCTACCATAAAAACCACAGGTGCCCAAGTTTTTCCCATTCAGCAAGGACAGACTGAAGAAGGGACTGTTATGAAGCCCAGGGGCCCCACCTTGACAGCTCACACAGGCTCTGAATACAATGAACACCAAGCCACAACTGATGTTTGCAGCCCTAGTTTCACGAACTATCTTCCACTTCACGTGTTCTGTACCTTGCTCATTCATTCAGTTCCAATGAGCCTGGCCATGCTTTTGCTCCTCATCTTACAATGCCCTTGCCTTATTCCTCTGATTCAGTGTATTTCTTTCTTTGGCTTTGGCTGTCCTCCCAGCTGTGTTTGGTCTGTTTTTCGATTAACGTACTTACAAATTACCCTAATTAATCCCTTCATATTTATAGCCCCTGGTTTAACTCATCCATGATTCCTTCTTCCAGTGGACAGCTATCTCCCACCCCCCCAACTCTGACCTGTGCTAGCCCCATAGATGAGACCATGAAAAGTAGTAGTCTTTGACATACATGACTTTTCGGATAATAGTTCATTGCTTATATTTTAGATCCACAAGCAACACATTTGGGGCATGGACCCATCGTACTCTGTTATCTAGAATACAGTCATTGTCCTCCTCTTCCTGATGAGATTATATCAGCTTGGATATCACTTATGGCTGTGTGGGAGGTGGCAACTGACTTACCTTGAAATCAGGATTTTTCCATCTTCAGAGAATAATGGCTAAGATCACAGTAATTAAGAGCCCAAACTCTGAAGTCAGATGACTTGGGTCTAAATCCTGCCCCTGCAACTTACTACTATATTTTGAGTTTGTGTTTTTGGCTTTTGGTATTTGGGTTTTGTTTTGGTGCTATTTAAATAAACAAGATTAACAAGCATCTTGATCATATAAAGTTAGAAGTATCAGAATCATTCACTAAATTTTAGATATTGGCCCCTGCCCTGCTTTCTCTGCCTCTGCTTTCCTCAGCTCCTCCCTTTTGCATTCATGAACCCCTCTGCATATTGATTCAACTGCATTATTTATCTGCCATGTTTCCTGGCCCTGTGCTGGGTCACAGAGATACAGATAAGTCATGGACTCTAAGGGTGGAGATATATATATATATACATACAAATACCTGCATTAAAATGTTAAGGGTGCTGAGATAGAGAACTTTTCAAGGTACATTGGAGCATAAGGGAGGGCACAGTGAGTTCTGCCTGAGGGGACAAAGTGGAGGAGGGTAAAATCAAGAAGTAAAGGAAGTCTTTGTGGAAAAGGTTGATGCTTGAAGTCGAAACCTGAAGTTGTCCTCTTTTCACTTGCAGCCTCAGACCTGTTCCAATCCTGAGGAAATCTGAATAAGACAGTCTCCACAAATAAGCTCAGAAATGTCACCCCATGTCCTGGATTCTAGCGGCCTAGTTCCAATGGCTGGGACTTCCACATTGCCTCCCGGGTCTCTTTGTTGCCGTTAGTTAAGGAACTTGAAATTATCAGGAGTAACTCCCAAGCCCACAGTCATAGCTCTGTAGTATTTCTCCCAATACCCCATAAAAGGCTCAGTTCTTAGTATTAAGCTGCAGTCTTTATTAGTGTAGTATCCAAATTCGTCCCTAACACTTAAACCCTTCTTTGAACTCCAGCACAGAGCCCCTGCTGCTTATCTTGTCCTTGTCAGCCCTCTTCTCTGGGATCTGGGCCTTATTTGATATCCCACCTGGGGTTCTGCCATCCTCCAGAATAGCCACCCATCTACTAGGCCTGCTTGAATTCCCCACCACTGGGGTCCCCGCCTAACTGGAAAACTCAGCCCCAACTATGTCTGGATTGCGGCTAACTTTTAATAAAGACTCTTTCTTTGACAAATTTGAGTTAGGCTCCTCTGAGCCCTCTTCTCATCCAGATCTCATCCTTGGTGCCCATCCTGTCTTTGGCTGCCCAGTCCAGTTTTAGCAAGAATTCTGCTAAGTAAGTTTAGTGACAGTCCCCCACCCTTGATATCTGAGCACCCTTGACATCTGATCAAGTTCCACATCCTCTACCTTTGCTGTATAAGTCCTTGGTCTGCCTTTAGCAAGAATCATGCCAGGTCAATTTAGTAGAAATCCCCCTACCCTTGATGGCTCCTCTTAGTAATTTTCCATCCACTGACACCCTTACCCTGCTCCTTGGTTATAAATCCGCACTTGAACTTGCTGTATTTGGAGTTGAGCTTGATTTCTCTCCCCAGTTGCAATAGACTGGACCCCTATTACAAATAGCCTTGAATAAAGTCTTCCTTATCATTTTAACACATGTCAGAATAATTTTTTCTTTAATACTTCTCATGCCCTTTGGACAATAACCACGGACAGCCCATGGCCCAGCTGTCCTTCTGGTCTACTCTAGGAATCCAGTCTCATTCCAGCTCCTCCTCACCAACCCCAAGCTGACACATGTGCATCAATACAGCTTAGGTAGGGAATTCCCTGGCGGTCCAGTGGTTAGGACTCCATGCTCTCACTGCCGAGGGCCTGGGTTCAATCCCTGATGGGGGAACTAAGATCCCACAGCCTCGCAGCCAAAAAAAAAAAAAAATACAGCTCAGGTAGAGCCACCTGTAAATATGGATCTGGAGAATATGAGCCAATTCTATTCCAACCAACATTACCTAATTCATTCAGTCAATCAGATAATCAAAACATATGAATAAATTTAAATAGTTTCTAAACATAAATATATTTTCAAAGAGGTTCCTTATTTGTATTACAGATATAAACAAAATACATACACTCAAGGCATAAAGTATCTGTCTTGTGCTCTTTTGAATAAAAAAATCACAGTGGATACAGATCTTTGATGCCCCAATGGTGCCATAAACAAATTCACTGGTCTGTTTTTGGACAAAGAATTACCTGAAATTTTTTTTTTTTTTTTTTTTTTTTTGCGGTACGCGGGCCTCTCACTGCCGCAGCCTCTCCCGTTGCGGAGCACAGGCTCCGGACGCGCAGGCTCAGCGGCCATGGCTCACGGGCCCAGCCGCTCCGCGGCATGTGGGATCCTCCCGGACCGGGGCATGAACCCGTGTCCCCTGCACTGGCAGGCGGACTCTCAACCACTGCGCCACCAGGGAAGCCCTATCTGAAATTTTATCTCTTGCATTCCAAGAATGTTTTTGTTGTTAGTAGAGAGACTTTATTGTAAAAGCCTCCTCACCTAGAGCTCTGGTCATTTTTTGTGTTTTATTCATCTCTTTCATTTGGCTTCAAGTAAGGTAAGGACTAGATAAAATTCAAAATTTACTGAATTTTATGTTAATACCAGGTCCAGAATTTCATTCTTGAATACCTCCCTGCATTGGGGTTGTTACTGAAGCGTTTTGAAGGAAATGGCAGGTCAGCCATTCATTGGTTCTCATGGCTTTGCAGTGGAGGCAGGGCCTTTCCCTGATTTGGCAACCTCCCATATTCCTTTGCCTCTGAGCTATTTTTCTCTTCTTAATACTGGCTGGTGATTGGTGGTGTTCACTTTCACTCTCCTTCCAAGAGGAGGCTCCCGAGTTAGATACTTCACTCTCACACTCAGTAGTATCACTGTCAGGTTGTGTCTGATTCACCCGGCTGAATTCAGAATGGTGCCTCGCTCGTCTTTGTTCAAGATATGCATTGACCAAAGCCACTTCTGAGTCAGTTACAAGAGGAAGTTGGTTCTGCTTTGGTTTTGTCATCATTTGCAAAGAATCCCTGGCACCATCTTTGTTTTGCCGCTTATAGGAAGTATCTTTGCTTGCTAACAACAATGAAACAAATCAACAAGTTAGGCACATTGCTGGTTACTATAATCTCATGTTACCTAAAAAGGAAGCCTATCGCGTGGGCTCACTCTTTGCTGCCATTTGCCATTTGCTTACCACTTTTCCCCACTCATTTGCAAGTGTTGGCAGCTGACTTCATTTTCCAGTACCATACCAAAACTCCTAAAAACCAAAAGGGTCAGATAGATGCTTGACATATTACTTTTGAAGTTTCATGGACCCTTGATATAATATCAAGGGAAAGGTCTCCAAACTTTTCCAGAGAAGGACCTTTTTACCTTTGCCTTGACGGCTTAAAGATGCAAGCGTGTATATGAATGTGATTTGGGTAGCAAAAAACTAAAAAGGATCTTCTCTTTATACACTGGTGTGCTGGAGTTGGCTCACACCAGCCAGTTCACAAGAACTGATAAACTTTCAGGAATTTTGCAAGATGGCTGTTAAACACAGTTATTGGTAAAAATTAAATTGTATAAACTTACCACTAAATCAATTTGTTACAAATAAATGTAATAAATACTCAAAACTCATCACTTCCTAAATTATTTTACTAGATTTTATTGTGAGGTTTGCTCTTGAAGCTACTATTTATGTCTGTTGTCTCTGGATATCAGAAATACTATGCAATGATATGCTACTGTGCATCTCTTCCTAACTCCTATGTTCAGTGACATCATGTTGGTAACCTGAAATTAGTTTTGGTAGGAATAAAAATCAACAAGCACTAAGAATCAGGTCTTCACTTATGGTTTTCTTGATTGTCTAGACTTAAAGTAATGGAGAACATGTTACTGACACAGATTACATTTAAAGGTGTCATGCCTATAGCCGCTATATTGTGAATAGCACCCAAAAATGAGGAAATATTCTTCCAGAGTATTCTAAAACTATTATCCAGCTCAACAAAGATGTCATACACATCATTAACAACCAAGTTCAGTTCCAACATACATCTTTCATCTTACTCCTTAACTTAAAGGAAAGTATCAATAACATGCATATTAGAACTACACTCGTTCATCTATTGCAGCTATAGGTTGGCTAAGGCTATAATCAAAGAAAGTATTTTGTGAGAATCAGTGGCCTATATGGAATTTACCATAAAGTGTATTATATGTTTTATTATTTGTAAATTGTCTGATATACATCCTTTATGTATATCATGTATGTATGTATTTAAATGATATATACACACATTTTTGGAGAGCCAGTTGTTAGACATTTATCAGCACACCACTATTTACAGGTTATTGAAAAATGTCATATATAGCTCATAGTTCTGTGGTAACACTAGCAATAAATGCGTGTGAAAGGCAAGCTGTGTGACGGGAGAATGCTGAGGAATGCAAAGACAGCTTGAACTCTCCCTACCAGTAATTTATAGCCTCTAGCAGCTTTGCTGAAGTAGCTAAGCAGTCCTTCTGCACCAAAGCAAGGTGTTCATCCAGTGGGCCACCACAGGTCTGGGGAGGCTCTATAACACTCTTGGCTATTTACCTCTGTTGTTTGCTTTCCACACACAACACATATTTCTCTCATCATAGTCCAATATCAAATATGCACTGGCTCTCACCTTTACTTAGCGAACTGCTTGTCCCATTGTCTTCATTCTTTTTCTTCTCAGACATCTGTTTCAGAAATATCGATTAGTAATAGTGATCTCAGTTGGTTGTTTTTCCCTCGTATTTACTTGTTAAGAAACACTATTGCCTTGGGCCCTTTGACAACGTCTAATTTTAAACAGTGCAGTTCGATAAATACTTACTGAGTTCCTATTATTGTGATCCTACTTCTGCTGCCCATTAAGAAGACCATGCTTTGATAGCAGGATCTACCAAAATGTTTTGAACCCAGCAAAATGGAACAAAGAGTGAGAGAAAATAATACTGATGAGACGCTATTAGTTACAAAGTTTTCTTATACTCACTGATTTTATAGAGAAATATCGTTTAAATGTCATTTAAAAACAGATATGATAGTACTAGGATTAGTTTTAAATTACTTTTTTTTAAATTTTTGGCCATAATGTACAGCTTGTGGGATCTTAATTCCCCGACCAGGGATCAAACCCACGCCCCCTGCAGTGGAAGCACGGAGTCTTAACCACTGGACCGCCAGGGAAGTCCCAGTTTTAAATTACTTTTTAAAGGACATTTTATCAGGTCATGTTATGATAATTCTTTAAGATCTTTATATGAATTCATAGACTTATATCTCCTAAATCCTTCCGAAACTTTCCTCCACAATGCAACCATAATATATTACCTGTGAATATGGCAACTAGAAGAAATTGATTTCTTTGAATAGTTCTAATTTCAAATATTCTGCCCCAATATTCCATAAATATATTTGTCCTATTTTTCACGTGTCCCACTTTTTGATGCTGAAAATGGTTTTGCTAAAAGATACGCATACAAAGCAACTCTTTCAAAATATATCAAGTATGTTAGAAATACTCATAACACTTTTGGCACATAATAATTCTGGGAATCTATCACTGGGAAATAAACTCCAAAAGAGAGAAAGTTTTATGTACAGAAATATTTATCCCAATGTAATTAGGGTAATATAAATACAAAATTCAAAAGTAGGCTCAGACTTCCCAGGTGGCGCAGTGGTTAAGAATCCGCCTGCCAATGCAGGGGACAAGGGTTTGATCCCTGGTCTGGGAAGATCCCACATGCTGTGGAGCAACAAAGCCTACGTGCCACAACTACTGAGCCTGTGCCCTAGAGCCCCCAAGCCACAACTACTGAGCCCACGTGCCACAACTACTGAAGCTTTCATGCCTAGAGCCTGTGCTCCACAACAAGAGAAGCCACTGCGATGAGAAGCCCACGCACCACAACAAAGAGTAGCCCCCACTCACCGCAACTAGAGAAAGCCTACACGCAGCAACGAAGACACAATGCATCCAAAAATAAATATTTAAAAAAGGAGGCAATAGTTAAATAAATTATGATGTAATCATACAATATATAGTTGTAAAAATTATAATAAAAGTATGTTCTAACATGAGGAAATAAATGTTATAATATTAAGTTAAAAATCAAGATGCAAATTTATATATGCCGTATGATCACAAGTTAGCTAAAAATATGAAAAGAAAAAAGACTAAGGGATGTACGCAAATGTTAGCAATAGTGGCTTTGAGTGTTGAAACTGATTTGTTTTCCTTCTAATTCTTCAAATTGTCTACAATTAGGGAAAAAATGAATTTATGTAGAAAGTCATACTGCCTCTGGGTTGAAAAGTACCACACTTGGTTATTCATAACTGCAATCTAAGATCTTTGGTCCACTCCTTTCTTAATACCTGATCTCCACAATGGTAGGCAAGTTTCTCTAACGAGGTACCTCTTTGCTTTTTGGGTTACTGAAATCATTCTCTGAAAGCTTTCAGTGAAATCCTCTTTTAAGATACCTGTTTTTTAAAAATGTTTTTGGGTGGCCTTATTTTAAATTTAAAATGTATAGAGATGATTATTAAAATATTAGAAGTTTATGAACCTTAAAAAGTTAACAGTAGTTGATTATTTCTATATAATCTGGAGTGGTTTTTATTTCATTTTTTCTACTTTCCTATAATGTCCACATTTTCTATAATGGGTACTTTTGTAATTCAGGGGGGAAAGTGTTTTAAAACACTTATTAGGTTTATATCTTTTTCATGGAAAGCTTCCATATTTGACTTGATGTCAAATCAAAATGTAATCACAAAATCAAAAGAAAGATTTTACATCAAGCTAAGTGGAATCATATGAACTGTGGTTACCAAAAGCATTTTATTAAGTGTCTTTGTGTGTGACTCAGCTGAGTGAAAACAGTAGAAGTGCCTGCCCTGAAGTGTAGGGTAGGACAGTGGTGAGATCTGGGCTATGGCTCTGCCTTTCTTCCATTGTGATTTTACCAAGCCACTTAACACCTCCTAAGCTCAGTTTCCACAGATGCAAAAAGAAGAGCCTGGACTGGTTTTGTTTGGAAAAATTCCAGCACTAGCTGTCTGAATAAACACTAAAAATATATATAAACTAAATATAGTATATATAATCTCTGAGAGCAAAAGGGTACATGCATCTTAGATAGTGGCAAATCCAGAGGAAATCAGTGTGCTTCATGTCTGAGGATAATTACCACCACATTTCCATCACGCTTTTACCATTACTTCAAGGTTTGTAAATAAATGTTCATAATTTAGCAGAGAAAATGAAGTTCAAAGTGAAGGAAAAATTCCATCCTTTTTGACTAGCTCTCATGTGGTTCTCAGATTTCAAATCTGGGACCCTTTAGAAGAAGCAGTTGAGTGGATTATAGTTGCCATAAGGGTACAAAGTGAAAGACAAAACCTCTAAGATAATTAAGGTTTTAATCAGCACTGAATAGATATAATTCAACATTTCAACTATGCTATGAAACAAACAAATGATATGGCAGGAAACCTGGGTCTATTCTCTCTGTCATAACCACTCATGTGTCATTGGACAAGTCACTTAATTTCTTTGGGCTTTATCAATAAAAATACAAAGGATAGATACTGATATCTTACTTGCCTACAAGCAGGAGGCTGGACCATAAGCTCTCTTGAGGTCCTTGAAGCTCAGGGCTCTATGACTCCAAAAGCTGATGCAAGCAAGGGAGCAGAGAAAGAACTTAGACTTCTCAAGGGGGTCTTCACGATGAAATTGCCAAGAATCAATTTCAATTTTTTGTTAATTTTCTAAAGTAGCTTTTCTTGCCAGGCTAGACAAATTCAATGTACTTAGCTAGGGAGTCTAAGACATGTATAAGCTATCACTATTCTAAATATTCTTTTGGCAAAGTATCTATCTTAAGCATTTAGACTTTAGATGAAACTTCTTTTTAGGGGGAGGAGGTGATGAGGGGAAGAGTCTGATTATTACAATGGAATCCAGCTGGCATAGACATAACAAGCCTCCTCCTCTCCATCTAGAGCTGATAACAGCATTCAGCCTAGCTGACCATTGCCAGCCTAGTGCTCTGGCTGTAATGCTAAATGGTGGTGGTTTTATTTTTTGAGTTTTTTTTTGCGGTACACGGGCCTCTCACTGTTGCGGCCTCTTCCGTTGCGGAGCACAGGCTCGGGACGCGCAGGCTCAGCGGCCATGGCTCACGGGCCCAGCCGCTCCACGGCATGTGGGATCTTCCCGGACCGGGGCACGAACCCGTGTCCCCTGCATCCGCAGGCAGACTCTCAACCACTGCGCCACCAGGGAAACCCAGTGATGGTTTTATTAATCATCAGCCTGGTATTAATGGTCAGCAAGGATTCCACATCAGCAATTTATAAGACCTCAGTTACTCATAATATGTGGGAGCATCACAGCCCTGATTAAGTGGGCTATCTCACTCCTTAGGATGGCATTTTTTCCCCAGTAGGTGGTCTAGAGTGGTGACTTTAGCTCTGTTTAGTTTCGTTCTGTATCTTTTTCTATGTGGAGAATGTAATGCCTCATTCTAAAAACCCAAAATCCTACAACATGTATCCTATATATATGACAACTTCTGTATCTTTGATTAGAATTACACAGCTACAAAAGGAATTTGGAGGTCATTAACCAGTAGGGAAGTTTATCCCAGTATTACTTAGCATTTGGACAAACTGAGAACAACCTAAATATCTCAAAATTGCAGATTTGTTATGGTGCAACCATAAGACAAAATTATGTAGTCGTTAAGAGTGCTGCTATGTAAATATAATTTGAGGAATGATTACAATATATTAAGTTTAAAAAAGCAGGTTATAAAAATATATAAAATATAATGCCAACCATCTAAGATCAAAGACAGACAGATGAAGAGAGATATACTGTGATGCAGAAAAAGAAAAAAACTAGAAGAACATACTCCAAAATGTTAACAGTGGTTATCTCTAGGAAATAGGATTACAGTAGTTTAAATTTTCTTCTTCATCCTTTTCTATATTCTTGGGTTCTCTAGAATGATACTGCATTATTTTTAAAACTAGAAGACAAACTTTTAAAAAGTAGTTTCACCAATGTAAAATAAATTTATTTTATGGAAAATCCCCTAGTATACAGTAAATATATTATTTAAAATGAAAAAGGATATCCTACCCAGACAGAAGCCCGAGAGAAGAACCAATATAATGGTTGGGAGAAGACCAATATAATGACAAAATACCAAAGCAGGAAGTTCCCTATTGTCTCACAAGAGTCACCCTTCTGGCATTCATAATCTTGATTTGGAATGGTAAAACTTGTAGGTATGGGGGGAGGATCCACCTCCCAAAATAAAGAAAAAAGGTCTCCCATGATGGCTTCTTGAACATATTCCCCTCAAAGGGATGAAGAAGACTGGGAAGTACTTCACTCCATGTGTACGACAACTTCCTTGGCAACCTATTATGACATATTCTTCAGTAACTATGACAGGAACTGACAAACATTTCTTGGATTACTAAGTTTTTGGAAGATCTGTCTAAATCACTTCTATGAAAGTTTAAGGTATATGCCCCATATCTCAATATGGTGCATTCTGCCATAATCTTTTTCTTTTTTTTGTCCTGAAACTTGTATATACAGTATTTTCTTTAAATACAGTATTTTAATGTCTTTTTTTTTTTTTTGGCTGTACCACATGGCATGCAGAACTTGCCCGACCAGGGATCGGACCCATGCCCCCTGCATTGGAAGCGCAGACCACCAGGGACCACCAGGGAAGTACTTTAATGTCTTTAAAATCTAAGTCTCTGAGGTATCCATTCATTTTTTTCAGTCTCTTTGATATATATCATATCATTGTAAATTAACATACAGGGTTCTAATGTATTATTGACTGAATTGTGTTCCCCAAAATGCCTATGTTGAAGCCCCAAGCCCCAATTTGGCTATAACTGGAGATAGGGACTTTAAAGAGGTAATTAAGGTTACATGAAGTCATAAGGATGGGGACCTAATCCAAAATGACTCTTGTTCTTATGAGAAAAGGAAGAGACATAAGGGATGTGCAAGCACAGGAAAAAAAGGCCATGTGAGGACACAGAGAGAAAGGGGCCATCTGCAAGCCAAAGGACACAAGGCTCAGGAGAAACCAATCCTGCTGGCACCTTGATCTCAGATTTTCCACCTCTACAACTGTGAAAAAATTAATTTCTGTGTTTTAAGCCACGCAGTCTGTGGTATTTTGCTATGGCAACACTAGCAAACTAATACATAATGCCAACAATACATCTAATTTAGGTAGTAGTCGTGTTCCTTTTTAAGCCTTGAATAAATGCACAGTAATTCATAGATTACATTAAGAGGGAAAACATAGATGTACCTGTTGTGAATTACATCAAACATGCACAATTTCTTCTTATGAAAGAGTCAGACATGGGTTGGGGAGGAAACTCGTATTCTAATTTTGACTGTACATTTGCACAATTTTCAAGTTAGTTCATCTCTATATCTAAAACTAGAGCAAAACACCATTGCTGCTAAGGCAATCTAAAAAATATAAAAACTCCACTTCAAAAAAATTGGTTAGATCTTTAAGAGCACAGCATACCTGCAGACTTTCATTAACATGCAATACCACGAGGAAACTTCATTTTCTTCTATTGGACCTTAGGAGCATTTTAGGAAAAAATTTTGGTCACTGGGACGTACAAGATTTAACAATCCGTTAGCTTATTATGACACGGCATGATGTTTTTATTAGAGGCACACTTTGCAACCCCACGAGCAAGTCTCCAGACCCTGCGCACGCATCCTGGACCATGCCGGTCTGCTTTAGGCCCTCGTCGCCTCCTCCAGGAAGCTCGCGGGGATCCAGGGCTGGGCCCGCCGCGACTCCTCGGGGCTCACTGCGCCCCACCTCACCTGCCTATCTAGAGAACCTACCGGCCTCCCCCGGGTTAAGCTCCTCCAAGTGGTGACCAGGGAAGATTTTATTTTCACATCCTCGCGCGGCTCAGCGGCACATTGTGGGCGTTTGTATTTGTTAGATAAAAGCAAACTGTAAGACAGGAATAAAGACGCAGACCTACTGGAGAACGGACTTGAGGATATGGGGAGGGGGAAGGGTGAGCTGTGACAGGGCGAGAGAGAGTCATGGACATATACACACTAATAAACGTAGTAAGGTAGCTAGCTAGTGGGAAGCAGCCGCATGGCACAGGGATATCGGCTCGGTGCTTTGTGACAGCCTGGAGGGGTGGGATAGGGAGGGTGGGAGGGAGGGAGACGCAAGAGGGAAGACATATGGGAACATATGTATATGTATAGCTGATTCACTTTGTTATAAAGCAGAAACTAACACACCATTGTAAAGCAATTATACTACAATAAAGGTGTTAAAAAAAAAAGCAAACTGAACTCCCTGATGAGCCTTTTCCTCAGGATTAGAAATTCTTCCAAAGAATATGCAGGAAAAGTAAAGAGTGGTTTTTTTTTAGGAAAAAAACCCTCAAAACCACTAACAACTTTAACAAAACAATTTGGTTTTTCTTGTTACTGCTGCACCCTCGTTACACGGATATTTTAGAATTTACATCGGGTCAGAACACTTAATTTTTTTTTTTTTTTTTAAACACAGAGGTATGAGAAATGCTTTGTCATTGCTGATGGTGTCTGGACCCATCATCAAGTACTCTGTATCCTACACTTGGCCACCCTGCTTAATAAAATCTGCTTTAAAATGTGTCCATAGGGCTTCCCTGGTGGCGCAGTAGTTGAGAATCCGCCTGCCGATGCAGGGTACGCGGGTTCGTGCCCCGGTCCGGGAAGATACCACATGCCGCGGAGAGGCTGGGCCCGTGAGCCATGGCCGCTGAGCCTGCGCGTCCGGAGCCTGTGCTCCGCAACGGGAGAGGCCACAGCAGTGAGAGGCCCACGTACCGAAAACAAAACAAAAAAATGTGTCCATAAGCGCCCTAAGGAAGCTAAAGTTATATTAATATATAGAAATTCAGCTTCTTATAGTTATTACTTTTTACTGCGGGCTCAGAACCTGGACTAAATTTTTCCGGCTCAGCTATCTCCCCTCACCTGAGCTGGCGCCACAAATCCAACGGCTGTTTCCCTGGTAACGCTCCTAGCCCCTGTCCCTCCCCCACTCCCCTCTTCTCGCGAGAAGAGAGAGTCTCGTACTTCCTGTAACTGTAGCTCCACAAGCCGGTCGCTTTCGCCTTAATACTTGGCTTCGCGCATGTGCAGTGGAGAGTGGCGCGAGCCAGCCGTTTCCGGGCGAAGAACGCGGTGCGTTTTCGGGATTATCTTTGTGGTGTTTGGACTCTTGAGTCCACGCGGGCCGTGGGAGTTAACGTGCGTGTGGACCTGCCGAGGGTTCAGCCAAAGGAGTGTGGCCAGACCTTCCACTACCCGTGGTGGAAGGGAGGAAAGAAGCCGTAAAGTTTGTGCTGCGAGAGCCAGGGAGGGAAGCTCTCCGCATTGGGTAGTGTTGACTCGGGGGCAGGGTGGCGGGAAGGGTACTGCTCTTACTCTGTGGGAGACGACTCCATATATCTGGAACAAGTCTTAACACTTGTCTGCAAGAGATGAGGCCTAGGAAAACAGAGGAAATAATAAATCCTAATGTGGACCAAAACTGCGCACTCTCCCCAACTCACCCGTATCCCCTTCACACCATGAGTACTCGCCCTTCTCAAACTTAAATCCCTGTATTTTATCAGCAACACGAATCAGAGATCTCTGGCGTGTGTCGGTCGTGTGCAGAGTTGTTAAATAAAGATCATAGGCAGTTAATGACTTATGCACGAGCATGTGGGAGGAGAGTAATGACATATCTTATTTGGAATACTTTCTCCCAAAACTTGGTATTTTGAATTTCTTATAGCCCTTGGCCTAGTCCTTGTGACATATTCCAAAAACACAACAGGGCGTAATTGGAAACATAACCACTAACCCTTAAATTACAAAATAAGATATTTTTCTTTATTGGAAGTGTTAAATTATTCTCTGAAGGAAACAGCCAGTTCTCTGTTGATTACAGTGTGGTGCCAATGAAGTTGTAATTTAGGGTTCCCTTTTCATATATTAAAATTAGAAAAAGGAAAGACATTTGAAGATGAGGAAAAGTAGATGCAACTTTTAGTTACCTTATAACAAGTTTGATTTCTTAAATGGGTAGTTTCTTTTAATTAATTCTGCTTTTTGATTTTGAACAGATGCAAGGGGAGCCAAACCCTAGTGCTTCCCTTATTGACAGAACCATCAAGATGAGAAAAGAAACAGAAGCTAGGAAAGTGGTTTTAGCCTGGGGACTCCTAAATGTATCTATGGCTGGAATGATATATACTGAAATGTAAGTTAATTAGCCAAAAAGGGAGGGAAAAGTGAAAATTTAAGAGGCCAGTGGTTGGTTCCACAGGTTTTGTGTTTGTTTTGATTTTTGGTGTGGTTTTGTTTTGTTACTATTAAAAAGCCTTTTTAATTTTTTCAGGACTGGAAGAATGTATAGTTTATATTATAATGTGAGATACTGGCCTCTCTGGTATATAGGTAAGTAATTAATTTTCACTGCAATGTAGTTACTCCCAGTGAAAAACTGTGTTCCAGTTTAATTCAGCTTAGTATCCATTCCTTTATTCGACAAATATTTGAGTGCCTGCTGTGTTCCCAAAACTGGGAATACACCAGGAAGGGAACAAGGAATATTCTAGTAGAAGAGACAATCAAATTAATAATACGATTCCGGATAATCATGAAAAATAAAGTTTGGAGCTGGTAAGATTTGTGTTTGTATTTGTCTCCCTGAATTGCCTTCCCTACTTCTCTACTTTTTCACCTTTCAAGATCAACCCGATTTCTACTCCACTGATGGCTTCCTCAGTTTCCTCATCCTTCCTCTCTGTCTGCTCTTCAGTAGTCCTTGGGTATAAAGGGTCCTTATGGCCATTGAAGTAAATTCCAAAGTCTAATACATACATTAAGCTAAAGTCTGTGATAGGGAAGTGGTGTGGCAAGTGGAAGAGCAAGAGTTTTGGAATCTGCATACCTTTGTTAGAATCATGGCTTCAATAACTAGCTGTGAGCTACTGCAAAAGTCACTTGACTTCTTTACAACTGGTGGTTGATCTTTAAAACAAAGGTGAAAATGTTTACTGTAAAAGCTTGTAAGGATTAGTGATAATATTTTGAAACTCACTGGTAAATGCCCTACACATAATAGACATTCATTAAGTGAAGTGGTAACTCTTAGGAATAAGAAGATAGTTTTCAATTTTGTTAATCTGCTAAAGTATGCATGGTTTTGTTTCCCCCCTTTAAATGTCCCACCCCCCTTTTAAAAAATAAATAAATTGTTCTCTTCCAGAGCTTGCCCTTGGATTTCTCTTCAGCCTAAACGCTTTATTTGATTTTTGGAGATATTTCAAGTACACTGTGGCACCAACAAGTCTGGTTGTTAGCCCTGGACAGCAAACACTTTTAGGGTTGAAAACAGCTGGTAAGTGTTTCATATCTTTTGCAAAGGTGGGTGAAAGGTTGGCAATAAATCTTTCTCAATTTAATTTTCTCTTCTCATAGACTCAGCTAGAAGGGACTTCTAAGGCCATCTGGTTCAACTGTATTAAACAGTTCTACAATAAATGGTCTTAAGATCAATGATTATCTTTCCTATTTATATAAATTGAGTAACATTCACAGTCTCATGGAAGTTTGTTCCATTGTTTAATTACTGTTAAGATTAAATGACTAACTTTTGCTACATTAAAGCCAATTTCTTATTTTGAACTCTATGGAAATGGTAAACAACCATTTGTGTCCTTTGGTAGTAATACTTTATGTAATTTAACAACCAGGTCACTCTTACTTGCCCTTTTCCTGAAGGAAAAGATTCAGTTCATTAAATCTGTTTTCATAGAAATTTTATTTATACTTACACACAATTATTTGTTCCTTCTAGCTGTACAGACTACTCCTCCACGTGATCTGGCAGCACCCCAAATCCCTCCCTCTCCACCTTCTCCTTCAATTCAGGGTCAGAGTGTATTAAGTTATAGCCCATCTCGCTCACCCAGTACCAGCCCCAAGTTCACCACCAGCTGTATAACTGGATACAGCCCTCAGCTACAAGGTCTGTCATCAGGTGGCAGTGGTTCTTATAGCCTTGGAGTGACCTACTCACCCATCAGTGGTTATAACAAGGTAATGACTCTTTTCTCTTGGCCAATCGCATTACCATTTTAGAATTGGGAGGTTTGAATTGAAAATCATCTAGTGAGTCGAAACTCCTTCTTTTATCAATGAAGAAACCCAGGACCAGTGGATAATTGACTTGCCCAAATTGCCCATTTAAGAGCTAAGAATAGAAGCCAGATTTCCTGACAGCAGTTAGAAGTTCTTTATATTACATCTTAAAACAAAAGAAAAGATTTAGCTTTTGAAAAGATAACGAACTGAGGTTCACCATCTAGGATCTTTCTGCAGTCTTTAAAACAAGTTGAAATTATGATGATTTTCTACTTTAGTTTCCTTTACTCATGTTTTCCCTCTTTCTTTGCTTCTTTATGTGAAACTTTTATATATCCTTAGAGAATATTTATGCTTTTCATCATACTGGAGTATCTTCTAAGCTAGAAACTGGGATTGTCATGTAACTTGACTCTTGAGTATGAATACTCTCCATAGGATGATTAGAAACCTTCATACCATCTCCCACAGTAAAGTGGACTTTAGTTTTAATTTTTAGGCTTGATAGAAACAAAATTGACAAATTTGAAATTGTGACTCCTGCCTGATGCATAAGGCTATAAAATAGGCGTTAAAACAGGGATGGTCACATTTTCAAGTCCTTTTTTTGGCCACACCACGTGGCTTGCAGGATCTTACTTCCCTGACCAGGGATTGAACCCGTGTTCCCTGCAGTGGAAGCATGGAGTCCTAACCACTGGACCGCCAGGGAATTCCTGGGATGGTAACATATTCAGATGCTGACACTAGTTAGACTAATATCTCTATAGTTAAATGAGAAATATCTGGAAATGAAATCAACACACTGTCTGCCCTTACCCTTTTACATAATATTTCTTTGTAATGAAATTCCATACTACTGGTTACCTAATAATAATTTTGGCAAGTAATGGAATTTAGAAAATTTTGTATAAGTTAAATATTATGAGGGTAATTTATAACCCATAGGTAAATATGACTTTTAAAAATAGTTTTACTTTGTTTTCATGGGAAAAGTACCATATGATCATTACGGAAAGTTACGAAATTAGTAGAAAAAATCACTCATCATCCTACCACCCAAACATAATTTCTGTTTAATGGCTACTTAATACTCATCTAGTGGATATACCCTAGTTTACTCTTGAATATTTAAGTTATTTTTATTTCTTAAAAATTATTATTAGTATCTACTGATTAGCTCTGTACATAAAGCTCATAACATTGCTTAATTATCTTGTTTTCTACTATATTATAACCTCGAGCACAAGATTATGTGTTTTTACTCATCTTTGTTTCCTTAGCACAGTGTATGGAATATAGATGCTATATGTGTCTGTTGAATCAAAGTAATACTTTGGAAAAATTAATGAAATTAATAATTATTTTTCTGGAGAAAAAAATGCTAAAATTGATACAGCCACTATGGAGGTTCCTTAAAAAACTAAAAACAGAACTACCATACGACCCAGCATTCCCACTACTGGGCAAATACCCTGAGAAAACCATAATTCAAAAAGAGTCATGTACCACAATGTTCATTGCAGCTCTATTTACAGTAGCCAGGACATGGAAGCAACCTAAGTGTCCATCAACAGATGAATGGATAAAGAAGGTGTGGCACATATATACAATGGAATATTACTGAGGCATAAAAAGGAATAAAACTGAGTTATTTGTAGTGAGGTGGATGGACCTAGAGACTGTCATACAGAGTGAAGTAAGTCAGAAAGAGAAAAACAAATACCATATGCTAACACATATATATGGAATCTAAAAAAAAAAAAAAGAAAAAAAAATGGTCAGAAGAACCTAGGGGCAAGATGGGAATAAAGATGCAGACCTACTAGAGAATGGACTTGAGGATACAGGGAGGGGGAAAGGTAAGCTGGGA